ATGCAATCTTCAGCATCGGCTGCACAGTACGATCCAATTATGTCCATTTTAAGATTACTAAAACAGTGGTCTTTTTTTAGGCCTTGAGCTGCAATGTGCTGCCGCATATGAATCCTCGCATCTACTAAGCGAGCTAAAAATATTCGTAATAGATTGTAATAGGATAGATGATTAGCGATGTCAATGAGGGGTGAGATACGACATTCATTCTTGTTCGCTGCGAATGATGGGGCGTGTCAATAGGGATAGGTCTGCCCCCTTGGCGCCAAGCCTGTTGCCCACCAGCTGTCGAAGCGAGCAAGTGACAAAACTGTATCATATCCTTCGTATCAGTAATTTTTCACCAGCTGTTTTGGCTTAGCCGCTTTAGCAACTGGTAGAAAATGAGCAAGCGCGCGAAACTCAGCCTCACCGACACAACCCACCACAGCGAACAGCTGTAATTAGAACTACTCCCATATCATGCTGTGTGAAGCGTTACTTCCAAGCCGCAGCATAGCACGCGCTAGCAAAGTAATCCATGACTGGTTGAGTGGAAAGACAAAGGCACAGAGAGATCTATCCGAACTGAGAGACGCAGTCGCAGAGAGAGTGCGCCTTAACACTGCCGCGTTGAGCACATTGGGTCCTGGAGCGGTCTACGGACAACTTGAATTTAATCCCTTTGAATGCGTCGAACATCTCTTTTTCTCTGCACCCTCTCGTCCTTGTTGCATTCTGTGCTCATTGTGACCTCACATATTCCAGTTTTTCACACATGGTAAAGTGGCTCACCCACCCTGGAGTCCCCTCCCCTTGAAAAATCCCGCTTCCTGGCTCGCCATACGTTTTTGGCACGTTTCGATGCTTTGGCAGCCGCTGCCCTCTATCCGTCTGCGTCACAGGGTTTCGTAACAGGACCGCCACCGAAAGTTCAAGATGTCACGTAACCGTCCTGGAGCGAATGAACACGTCACTGTCACCTCGCGCTGCGACTATTTCGCCATGCTCGTTGGGACTGAGAGCAACGCTTCTTACCGGCCCTAGCAACTTGACCGAATCCTTTCTTTCATGAACATATTTTCATCCCTTCAATCTTTTCTCCGAAACTCAATGAGAAACTGTCAAGCCCTGTACAAAATCCTTTCAAAAAAATTCACCTCTCGAAGAAAAATGCGTCATCTTTGTAGCGCTTGCTTACATCTTCGAAAAACTTTTCTTTATATACAGGTTTCAGAAGATTTCTCATGTATCGCTGAAATTATTAGAGCATTCAACATGGTGACATGACAATTGACGATTTTTGCATTTTTGCGCGAAGCGCCATGCACACTTTTCCCTGCACACTGGAGACTTCATAGAAAGCCGACTTCATGGGAAGCCCCGCCCAAGATTGCCATCCCCCCCCTTTTTGCACTTGTGTGAACTAATTCACTCACACACGCACTTGACTCCACCGTGACGACTCCACCCCTGACGACTCCACCCCTGTCAACTCCATCCACCTACCTTAATCAGATTGACATCCTGGTCACTATAAAAGAATTTTTGCATTTCAGAAAGGCCACTGAGCGCAACCTCCCACGGGAGATATTCCTGAAAGTGGAGTTACCGCAGAACCAAACCTTGTCTCGAAAAAAAATCAAAATGCGGTACGTTCTCGTTTTTCAGGTACTGTAGAAGATCTAATACGGTTATGTAATCGATGAGGCCTTTGGTGGCAGCAGCGAAGGCATCGCTTATGATGGCACTCCTTGTACGAGAGCTGTATATCTGAAATACCATCAAAAAATGAAAAGTATTCCAAGGAGAGGGAGGTGGTGTAGTGGGAAGTGGCGTGCCTTTCTAGGAGGAAGGTCAATCTCGACTTGGCACTTGTCCACACCACACGCCTTCCCGTAAGTCATTGTGTAGGGCACATCGCATTCAATAATACTGCGAGACTAAATGGAAGTGGTATGGGTGCAGCCCCACCCAAACCTAACGAAGACGATGTTCATGAGAAACGGACTGGTATCTGATGCCCATTCACGCTCAACGGAACGACCATCTCTGAATGCTCTAGCTATGTGTACCTAGGTCGTGAAATCAATATGATGAATGACCTAGCTCCAGAGCTGAGCAGGAGGAAGCGAGCGGCTTGGGGAGCCTTCAAGAACATCGAGGGAGTAGCGAAGGAAGACAGAAGAACACCAAGCTGCGTTGCCACCTTCTTTCGAGTTCGCGGTCGCTTCCATGCCTTGACTACGCCTCCAGAGATCTTGCGATCCACGAAAGCAGATGAGCATGCGGTCGGTGTTATTCAACGCGCCATCGAAAGGGCGATGCTCGGAGTTTCCCGCTACACGCAAGTGAGAGAGGGAATCCGGAGCTCCGCACTCCGCCAACGATCGAAGATCAGAGACGCCGCCGCATTTGCCAAGGTTTCGAAGATCAGGTGGGCCGGACACGTCATGCGTTTCGAGGACGACCGCTGGACCAGAGCAGTCACCGACTGGATTCCACGGGATGTCAAGCGAACGCCTGGACGACCGCCTATGCGATGGTCAGACTTCTTCGTGAAAGCTCTGAACGAACGGTATGAAGTTCATCGTGTCCCTCGAGCTGAGAGAGTTCAGGCAACTCTTGCACGTTGCAGGGACGAATGGAGACGTTACTGGCGCCCGCTCGAGGAACTCGATGATCAACGGGAGCACAGGTGATACAGGTGATGGGGTGCAGATGCCTAAAACC